CAAATCTGATCTTAGATCGTCTTCCGGAAGTTGTCCGATTTGCCTTTTGTGATGCTTGATAAAACTACATACCTATCAGACTGATATATAGATTCAATCTCGGCTTAGTTTTCAACTTTTTCTAAAAAAATGAACAAAGATAAAAAATTACACCAAAAAAAAGTTCTACATTGGTATAGAAATAAATATAAGAATTGCGAATTTGAAGATTAAAACCTGACAAATCAATTAATTTCAATTTTAATTCTCTATTATGTTCTAATTTGATAAATTCTAATCTTCAATTCGGTCCTTAATATATAACAGTTTGATGTTCATTGCTAATGTAAATTAATTTTAATCTCGGAGTTCAACTTATTCCTTATCAATTATATCTGTCTCTCTCGTTCTAAGAATTAAAAAGAGATAAGGAATAAATTAAACCGAGATTAAAATTAATCTACATTGATAGGACACGAGGCGAATTAGAATTTGCATATTAAAACTTGACTAATCACAGATAATTTTAATTCTCTATTGTGTTCTGATTTAGTAAATTCTATTCGCAATCCTCAATTCCCAATGCATATAACAGTCTATTGTCTATTTTTACCAATGTAAATTACCTTCAATCACAATTTAAATTATGTACTCAACTTAACTTTTTTTAATTCTAAAAATTAGCATAAGCGTAAATTAAAACAACAATAGAATTACGTTATAATGGTAGAAAGGAATTAAGATTATAAAATTAATTTACGTTGGTAGAAATAGATATCAGACTGTTATATTGGAAGTTGAGGATTGCGAAGTTAAAATTTTTAAGATAATTAAGGATTAGAATTTTACAATCAAGGAGGATAATTTCAATTTCGATATATTTTGTTCTAGTTAAATGAATTTTAATCCCAGTTCTAAGTCTTCAGTGTATATAACAGTCCATTTTTACTAATATAAATTTTTACTAATATAAATTAACCCTTACCATACAAGGTCGGGTCACTAGTGATCGAGCGATTCCTGTTCGTGTAAGTTTCTTTCAATCTTTCGATAATTATAAATTGTGCAACATTTTATTATTTTCCAAAATGAAGTTTCAATATTTATTCTAGAAAATTGAAAGTATGTTGGTGCATTTTTAGAGATTTTTTAAATTATTTTAAATATGATAAAAACAGACGGATATATATAAGGCACCAAATTATATCTTATATTGTAAGGATTAATTTTAATTTCGATTCAAAACTTACGGTTCAAAATTGAAGATTTTTCTAGTTCTAAGAATTAGAAAAACATAAAGAATAAATTAAACCAAGATTAGATTACTCATTGTAACTACACTGGTATCTACATCGGTAGAAAAGAGCCCGATACGGGTTTAGCTCGATGATACCTTCATTCGCTTTCTCCTTGTAACAGCCCAAACAAAACAAAATAATCGTTCAACTAGTCGAATATAGAAATTCGACTGAACGTCAAAGAAGAGCAAGAAAGTGGGCTGAAAAGCTATTGAGCGATGCGACTAACAGGAGCAAGCTTTCGAGGACGCCTCTCTCGAAAAGAGGCGACCGAAAACACGTACGCACGTATGCACGCATCCATGGGCACGCAGGCATTTATTTACGTCGCGCGAGGGGGGTGGATCCCTCCGTTGTCCGCTCACCCGGAACTCGTCGCGATCGAAGCGACCTAGAAAGCGAAGAGATCCCGTTGCACTTGACACGACGTTTAAAATATATACGAGAAACACACAGGCTCGCGAGAGTATCTCCCTCATGTATCTCCGTCTCGAGCATCTGGGAGGCGTTTTCCTCCTAGAGCATGCAGGCCAAACACCCCGTCACACGTTGCTCCGTCTTGCGCTCCAAAAAACGAGACGGCAACGATCGCGCCGCAAGATTGAACCAAAGAAAGTAAGAAAAAAAAATGAGAGAAAAATAAAAGGATTGAGTGAAAGGAATTAAAAAAAGACAGAATCGTAAAGTCCCAGTTTCCTGAATTGACAGGAACGTCTTACCTGACTTTCCCACCGCAAAATTGACAGTGTGCGCCCTGCCAGCCCTCGCGGCATACGCAGATGCCATTTTCGCAGATGCCGTTGACACAGGTGTCGGGGTCGCAGCCCGCGTCCAACGTCGGCGACGACGAAGAGGTGGAGGCGGCGGCACTTACGTGGACCACCCAATAGATGAGCGCCGCCCACAGTAGAAACGATGCCCACGGCACCGTCGCGGTCGCGTTGCCGCCGCTGCCGCCGCTGCCATGGCCACACCGACACCGCCACCGCCGATCGCAATTCTGCTCGCGGTTATGATCGAACCACGCGCCGCCGCCGCCGCCTCCGCCGCCGCCGCCGTCGTCGTCGTCGACGTCGCGACGACGTTTCCGACGGTACTTGGATTTATATAGGAACAAAAACATCTGCACGATCTCTGCCATTTTGATAGGCTTCCATGTCAGGGACAATGGCCGACGGCGACGCGCCGACGAGGGACGCACATACGGGACGACGACGAAGACGAAGGAACTGAAGAGAGAACTGAGACCAGCTTTGCTCTCCTTTGGCTCGTCCCGCTTGCTTGTTCTCGCGCGACCCGACTCGGCTCTCGGCTCGATTCGACTTGATTCGACTCGACTCGCCCAACGGCGAACTCGCGCGACGGCGACTCGCTCTACGCTACTGCTCGCGCGCGCCGCGCACCGCGCACGCTGCTGGCAGCTGGACGCTGGACTCTGGTAACTCCGGAGTGCTGGCACGCACACACATACACATACACACACACACACACTGGCCAACGCCACCAAAAGTGCGAACTTGTGCAATGCAACTCAAGGGGGTGCACGGGGAGTGCACGATCACCACTGTCGCGCCACACTGCAGCTGTACTTACTATCCTACACTTTGACTGCATTCGGTTTGGGTGCTTTCCATTTATGCTCGTTTCTATCAATGTAGTGTAATTTTAATTTTGATTCAACTAACTCTTCATCTTTGTCTAGCTCTAAGAATGAGAGAAAGATGAAGAGTAAGTTGAACTAAGATAATCTATATTGAAAGAAATGAATAAGTTATACAAATCGACACAGTTAAGCATCATTCTATCTTTCTTTATGTTTAATAAGTAATCAAGGTATAGAACGGCACTTGTATCACTAATGGAAAGCACTTTTTAGATGCTCATAGCACTTATCATTATCATTTCTGTCTTTATCGTTTATTAGATAAGGATAGAATGGTATAATAATTTGATAGCGAGCTCTTCGAACGTAGCTATTGTAGAAAATCCATAAAAAAATTGAACAATCGTAATGAGGTGTTATTTTCACATTCGAATGATTGAATGATTCCTTAATTAGAACATTATTACACTTATTGTATTTTGCCTGGTTGTACCAACGTTATTTTGACTTTAAGCGAGACTTAAAAAATTTTTCGTCTGTCTCGTTTTAAAGCCTAAAGAGAGATAGAAGGAGTCTTAAGCTTCGCTTAAAGTTAAAGTAACGTTAGTGCAACTGAGCAGCATACATCATTCCAGCAATATTGCAGCAATATTGCTGCAAGCTTCTGTGCTATATATAGGATAGATTAGGAAAGATATAAAGTACTAAAAGCGTCCAAACTAACCCAAACTAAAGACCTTATAACAGAGCGTGGTGAATAATTTTGTCAAAATAAAAATGAGAAAAAAATGGTGTATATTAATACTGTCTCTTTATGTATATAAATAAAGAAATGCTTGAGAATCAATACATTTTTAAAAACATTAATATATGGTATCGAAATTCCTCCAAAGTGATTATTAAAAATTACTTTTTAAAAAATTATTTTTTAAGTTACAATTTATTTTAACAAGTCATTATTACGTTAATGTAACTTAGTATTATATCTATTGTTTTTTTCTGCTTGGGTATGCTCATCAGTAGCTAATGACTTTTAAACGATAAGAAAACTGTCGATGCGGACGATGATTTGAAAGACGTTGAATCTCGAACAATAAACAAGGAATATTTAATAAATATTTTATTACTTATAAATATCACATATAACATATATAAATTCTAAAATTATCAGTTAAGTTAGTTTCTAATCTTTTTTTTAACAGGTACATTAAATAATAATTCAAATTTTAGAAGTGCAAACACTGCAGAACTTAGTAGTATAGATATTATTTTCCCAGACACCGCTAACACAATTAATATTTAAAAATAAAAAGTTAACATTTTAAAGTTTTTATTTGTTATTCTATCATATTTTAAATAATTTTATTACAATGACGACATCGCTTTGATTAAAATGAAGCTATAAATATAATAGGTATGTATAATTTGGACTTTCACAAATTCTAAAATTAATACTTTTTACTTTTGCTCGCTTTTTACCTATGTTTAAATTTTTTTATTCGTTTTATATTTTTTAAAACTTTCGTAGCACACTTTAAAGATTTTCTACGATACCGATTGAAAAATCCTAATAAGATAAATTAATTAACAAAACAATCGGTTTTGCAAATCGGCATAAATCATGGAATTCGACGAACATAAGCAAAATCGAACGCAGCTAACATATTATGAAGAAAAATAGAAAATAATTATAAGAGAATGACTTTCATAAATTCTAAGTATATAGATATATATGCATGACCATATAATTTTCATCCGCTTCCTTCAATTAGAATTACGTAATAACTAATAACGTACATAACATTAAGTAATTTGTTTATGCAAAGAAACAAAGTTTTGCGAAATCAACTTGGCATTCCACTTTACGCACAATTTATCATTTTATCTTCGTTTAACATTCGGTGAATAACAAGGATAAAATGATATCAAAATGGAACATACGCACTTTTGAATTGAATTCATACAGAAATAATGAAATAAATAGATAACAAAACCGTTAAAATTAATATAGATTTTGTCATAAGAGAGCAAAACTTAAAGAAAAATAAATATATTTAAAACATTCTATATAAATCGCGAAAGCAGAGAGCGTTTTCTATTTCCCTCACTCCACTCGCGATTGTAATAGGCGATCGTAAATTTACGTCATTTATGATTGCCATGTGTAATCGCTAGGTTAGGTTTCTCATGGTAGCCGAGACATCGTGTTGCTGATGCATGGCCAGGGTACAAATTTACGCAGATAAATCCAACTCTGGAACAGTCGGTCAGGCACGAGGGAATAAATAACGCTGGCGTGGCAGCTCGTCTGCACGTCGAGGTGCTGTAAGCGCGTAGTGAGGTTAAGCTATGGCGAAGTATCTGATACAGATCATCGTGATGGGCACGCAGGTCGTCGGCAAAGCTTTTGCGCGCGCTTTACGCCAGGAGATCGCGGCGAGCCAGGAAGCGGCGCGGCGAGCAGGTGGTGGCAGTCAGGGAGCGCAACACGTCGCTGCCAATAGCAGAATCGGTCTTACCCTAGAAGAGGCTCTACGCATCCTGAACGTGGAACGTCCTGACCAGACGGAGTTGGTTGAGCGAAACTACAAATATCTCATGGAGGCTAATGACAAGTTGAAGGGTGGCTCATTCTATCTGCAATCTAAGATTGTCCGTGCCAAGGAGCGCATTGACGAGGAACTAAAAAATCAAAAGGGAACGACGACTCCACCACCACCGACGTCGCAGGAAGCTTCGACGAGCAGTCGAGAAACTTTCAGGCAGCCATGAGATTTGTTCCTAGTCTAAATTTACTTATTCTAATTCTAGACAACTGTACATAATGTCATAATAAACAATAGATTCTGATATTGATTAGCATGGTTTTAAAGTATAGCATGTTGTTTTTTTTTATCCAACATAGAAATTTGTAAATATGTAATATGATCTTGGAAATGTTGATTTTAAAATGTATATTTTGAGCGTGCACAATGAAACTTGAAACTTTTGTGAGAATAAAATGTTAGTTTCTATATTAAGGAATATAATTTGTGGGTTTCATACTATTGCATCATGTTACATGCAGATAAATAAAAGTACAATATAGCCATATATATGTATATATATTCATAGGAGATATATTGATTGATATAACAGTCTTTGTGGAGAGAAGTTCTCGCTCTTATACGAGACTTTTCAGTTCTAATAATCAAATTCTAGCGCTATTGAGTTAATCCGGCCGCCTTTGCATCATCCGCATCAATTCTATTTTGTGCCTGACGTATGATCAACCGTTCTTGATTGTGGCGTACAGACCATAAACTTGGCAGGTACTTTGGTTTCATTGTGAAAAGAAAATGTTCTCTCCACATACGTTCCAACTCGACGAGTCCACTTTCTTGCTTTTGAAAATGTTGTACCACCTGTCGAATAAAATTAAACTGAATAGTACAAAGACTTTACAAATTTGTCTTAATGTTTTAATTTATTATAAAATCAGTACCTTTAAGCCATGTGGTTGATACTTGTTAGGTATCGGTTTCTGGATCAGTGCATTCTTCAGTTGCTCGTTCAGACCGTTAAGCAGATCCGGCGTAATTTTCTGCTGTCCCGTATGTTCTAGTATGTAATTTTCATACTCTTCACGTTGCCGAGGAGGTAACGTGAATTTTTCCCTCAAGGCCTTAACAGCCGAATGCAACTTTCGGCGGTTATGCAAAAAATTGTCTCGTACGTGTGTCATTGGCCCAATTAACGGTGCATCACACATGTCTGCTAACTTTCTTCTGAGTTGCAGATCATGATTATTGCTGATTTCATGACACGAAGGACATAATAATAATACATCATGAGATTGATGTGCCTTCATTACCACTAAAAAGAATGTTTATTTTGATAAGTACACATGTATATGGAGAACAATTATATTCTTATATTTATTAGATTGACATGTTATTCATTAATCAATATAAATATTATATCTATTTTTAATATTATATAAGGGATAAAAAAAAATGATAAAAATGCTTACATGGGAAATACTTTCGATATTCTCGTGGCACAACATTTTTTCTAATAAATTTCTCAGTGCATCCACAGACTACACATTGATTGAGTTTCACCTGTGTATAATATTGTCCAACTTCTCCCAATGCTCGGCCAGATGGCTCAAAATTTAATCTGACTGTATATGGATCTGTCTCCACAAGTTTTCCTAAATTTTTCGTAATATACCATTCTGCTTTCTTGCGATCGCATGTACACAATATATCTCCATCAGGTGCTTGTAAATAACAATTATGATATAATGGTTTAATTCTAGTAGGTATCGCATTTTTACGATCGTTAATAGTGTTTTTATCTACTACTACTGATTTATTCTTAGCATTTAAAACATTATTATTAGTAATACTGTCCGCACTTGGTGATCGCTGACTCTTGAACCTTAAACAGATGTTTATTTATATATACTTCTCTCTCTTTCTCTCTCTCTCTCTCTCTCTCTCTCTCTCTCATATGCATAATTTTATATAATTCATAAATTTTTATACCTCGTATCGACTGTTCTAGCAGGTACACCATGAATCCGCACATTGATATCACTACTCAATATATTATATAAGTAAATTCCTACTCTCTGCCATAACGTATACTTTTCTTTTTCTTTTTGCATTATCTGAAACAAAATTGGATATGAGAAATAATTTATAGTCATAATAATCATGTATAAAAAAGATGTTTAAAAATTCCTACCTTATGATAAACGATAACAGATGCAAGCGCATCACAAGCGGCATATGCAACTTGTTCGTCGGTTAAGGTGCTAGCGTCCCAGTCACCGCACCTGACTTCTATTATTTTGTCCATCTCTATATTAAGATATTCTAAACACATGGCGGCTAAGCTCTTCCGGCTCGGTAGATTAAAATTTTCAGCTAGGGTTCTTAAATCAAGAGTCCCATTAACTCTACATCCATAATCCTTTACAATCTTATGTCCATCTTCAAACGAAGAGATCCCGACTTTAAGGATGTGTTTACTAGCTAACAATTCCTTAACACATAAACATAATTACAAATTCAATATTATGCATAATATTAGTCAATCTTGAACTTTTTGTGAAATGTTACCTTAAGTTTAGGTGGAATGTATCCAATCTTTCCAATGCGAAACAAAGCAACTACTCCATTGTAAGTAGCTAATTGTAACAAAGAGACAGGTCCTTCTTTGACCCATTCGCAATCGAAACCCAGTACACCATCAGACAGATCACTATCAAAGAAACATATACAACAAATTAATTGTTTTAATAAGACATAAATAATGTTATTATTCCTTCTGGAGAGCATGTTTCATCAAACAGATTTGAGAAAAGCAATCAACATAAAAGTAGGACAAGTGTATTATATCATAAAAGGAAATTGAAGAAGAAATTAATCTTATCCCTTGTAATTAATAACAAAATTTATTTTACTAAAGAAAGAAAATTCTCTTTGAGAAAAGCAGTCAACATAAAAATAGAGCAAGTGTAAATTTATATTATAAGAGGAAACTAAAAAAAAAATTCATTTTATTCTTTGTAATTAATAAATAATAATAAAATTTTATTTTACTATAAAAGAAATCTGTTATAAATTAGAAATTAAAATAAATTTTTTTTCGTATAACGATCGCTAATTTTGCCAGCTATTGTTATAGGAAATCCAGATCTTTCTCAGAGAATCCCAAGGACACTTTATACTTATTGCCTTCCAAACACAATAATCTTGGTATTCGGCTCTCCAGAAAAAATGTAAACAATAATTATGAAAACGGTCGTTTCCATCATGTTATGGAAAGTCATGATATAGCAATGTCTGTTATAACGTCTTAGGATATGATTGTGAGAATATTGTTGAGAGATTAGAAAACGCTTAAAATTAGCAATATTAAATTTCGATTTTCACTTACCAACGAATACGCTGTACGGCGTAATCGCATTTTTCCGGAGAGTCGGCCAGAATAATCTTGTCTAATATAAGCTTATTCTCTTTGTTGTCATTATCCTCATTATTATTATTATTATCAGTATCATGGTTATCACGCTTAGCTGTATTATCAGCATCCTTACTGCTATCGCGATTTTTAATATTTTTATACAGATGCTTGACGCTACGAAGTACGTTGTTGCGATACTTCGACGCCAAAAAGACAAGTCCCACGGTCACGCAAACGAGAAACATGTTGTTACGTGCGGGAACCATTAATCAAAGAGGAGAAAAGACGCTTGAAACGCGCAAAAAATTCGATTTAAAAAATCAACGTTATATATACAATTTCTTCGTTATCGATATACATATATAGATATATACACGTGCGTGTGAGTTACACGTTATGTTACAATTCTAAATAAAATGTCAATGCAAAACAATCGCTCGTCGAGCAATTGAATTATAGCACAATTGTAACGATTAAGGCAACTCAGCACATCAATCGATCACAGTGATAAACTCTCTTTCTCTCTCTCTCTCTCTCTCTCTCTCTCTCTCTCTCTCGAAGATTCGTCTCAAAAGCATTAATATTAATATAAAACTGATGCAGCTCGGCGATCGCGCGGAATCATTCAACTAGATAAATCTACGATTATCTGAAATCACGGTCGCCCCTGCTCGAAACTGCTCCGTATAAAATAATCATCTCGGTGACCAGCTCCGATCTCATTGAAATTTAACGCGAAACGAGGTTCAAGGGACCCCGTAGCTTTTGAAGAACGACCGGCGTACGCGGCTACGGGTTTCACGCACGACTAACTTGGACTAACTGCAACTAACGGAAACGACTCCCGGTCGGTTAACTATCTACGTTTATCTGCCTACCGTTTGCCGTCTGGTAAATAGATCATGCCGGTATTGCTATTATGGCTCCTGCACACAGAACGCGGTAACTGGCGGCAATGCTTGAAGTTGGTGCGATAGCCAATCAACGTCTTGCTTGGTCGGAAGTAATAGATATATAATTTTCACCGCGCGACAAAAATTGAACTCAATCCAACTTTTGTCGCGCGGAAGTAATATTACATAATTTCTAGAAGTTTTGCATGGTAAGGCCGATTTATGCCCATTTCCACCAATGTAGATTAACTTTAATTTCGGTTCAACTTACTCTTTGTCTTTTTCTAATCTTTAGAATTACAAAAAGATAAAAAGTAAGTTGAACGGAGATTAAAATTAATCTACGTTGGTGAAAATAGGCATTAAGAACATAGAATTATTGGTTAGTGCGATAACTTCTGCCGTGCGGCAGATGTTGCCGCGTTCTGTGTGTGGGAACTATAATGGCTTCTGCACACTGGACGCGAAAACGCTTGCCGAGCGGCAATTGTAATGTGGTAGCCAATAAGCCTTCAGCTCCTAATGTTCATTGGTTACCGCATCTCATTTTGCCGCGCGGCAAGCGTTTCCGCATCCAGTGTGCAGGAATTATAAGGATGCTGTTCCATAAGCAGAAATTTACAGCGAAAAGGCCTTTTCATGCGCAGCAAAAATGTCACGTGATGCAAATTTTTTAATTGCTTCCGCTATATTTGCTGCATATAAAAAGGAATACCGACAATAGCGTATGTATTAAAGTTTAACCTCAAATATGTGTCTTTTATTTGCTCAGCTCAAAAATTAATATGGAAAACCCTAAAAGATAAAAACTTGTGATAATATGGCAACTATTATATTATATATTAGTGCAGTTACAATTTGGACAACTATCAATTTCAAGTAATTATTTAGAATTTAGAATATCCCCATCACTTCACATCTTAATAAAAATGTACTTATCGTATGTACTCATTGTAAATGTACTCAATTTTCACATTTTTTTGCAAATATTGTAGATTTTCTCAGCTTCAAATTTTTTGCTGCTCATTGTTCGTTCGGTTGAAC